GCTCCTCCCTGCTGCTCTCTCTCTCTCTCTGTCTTCTCTCTCTCTCTCTCTCTCAAATAAATAATCTTGAGAAATAATAATCTCCCAGATGTTATTTATGCACCTAAAACATGAGACATCTGTATTATATAAACATCTGTTAGTGGACTTGTGTTGACAATAGCCTACTTGATTAAATGAACCATGTGTCTGAGCCAAGTCTTATATTAAGGTGTCAGATGTAAATGAAGATAAATTGTTATGTTATTTTTAAACCTTTCGGTAACACTTATTAAATTTTGTATTGTGAACAATATTAAATTTCCCTTTGATTTAGTGAAAGTGCATTTTTTACATTTAGGTTTGCATTATTCTCTTCCCACTGAGAACATTAAAGCCACCAAGAGAAATTGTGGTTGCCTATGACAATGGGTATTTCCATCTAATTTGATAAGGAAGAAATGTAGATTTGGGGGAAACTTTATAAAATTATTCTTGGAATGCATTTCATTTATTTGTAATAAATATATCATCCCTAAAACTCATTAGGGAAATCAGTTTACCTTGCTGCATCTAGCACCGTATAGCTAAAAAAAGCCAAGCTATATAATGCTTTCTTGGGTAGAAATTCTGGGTAAATAAGCATTGCAAGATGTTAATTTTAAATAAAATTTCTCTAAATTACATGCATATATGATGTTCCCTTAACGAAACTGACAAATCAAATAAACAGAACAAATATTTTTTAAAACAAAAATGGAAAAGAAACACTATTTTCTCTATATATGCTTGATACACAGAACAACATAGATATGATAGGTGAAATAATGAGTAAGCAAAAATGAAAAGTATATTATGGTATAACTTTTTTAAGTTAAAAAATGACTAGCACTAAATAATATAATTTGATGAAAACATGAAAAGAAGCAATGTAATAAAATAATGGTTATTTGGGTGTTGGGGAGAGGCAGGCAAGGGATAACAATGTAGCATCTAAGTATAGAGAAGCTACTATAAATTAATAGTTCTTACACTGGGAAACAGATTCATAAGGTCTCACTAAAAATGTCCTGTCAAAATTTATCTCTGATGAGATTAAAAAGTAACTGATATGATTCAATTGTACCTTGAATGAAAAACTGATATTGGAATATATGAATTAGCATTCTCAAAATTATAAAATAGGAACTAATTAGGATATTAAGATTTACCTTAGAGATGGTACAGTATTTATCTTAGACACTGAAAACCAACCACTGCCAAATATTTTATTCTCTGTAAAACATAGTGTCTTAAAAAGAACAATGGCAACAAGGACAGCAAGGAACTCTCAAACAACAAAACCAATCCACCTGTATTTGATGATATTTGGGGATTATTTGCTTTTTATCAAGAGCTATTTATTTGCGTTATGCTTATTCTGGAAGATTCCAAACTATAAATTTCTTTAAAATTACTCTTCATCATCAAAAAATTAAAGACAAGAGGGGCACCTGGGTGGCTCAGTTGGTTAAGCGACTGCCTTCAGCTCAGGTCATGATCCTGGAGTCCCGGGATCGAGTCCCGCATCGGGCTCCCTGCTCGGCGGGGAGCCTGCTTCTCCCTCTGACCCTCCCCCCTCTCATGTACTCTCTCTCATTCTCGCTCTCTCAAATAAATAAATAAAATCTTTAAAAAAAAATTAAAGACAAGATATAAGGCAATAATGTCTAACAAAAAGTTCATGTTTTTCCCTTTTTAGTTCCATTTTGACACCTGAACTTATTAATTCTATCCACTTTTGAGACCACTATATATTCTTAGTGATCATGGTATAAGATAATTTAGAGCCTTATAAAAAATCTTTTCATTAATATGCTTCCACAGCCAAGGAAGAGGCAACATTCAACCAAAGTGGATTTATTCATATCAAAAGAGGACAGATTCGCCTTCTAACTTAAAATATCTGAAGGTAAAGGAAACTCAATACAAACAAAAGCATGCTTATGGATGGATGGATAGGAGTGTGTCCTTTTAAAAGGAAAAGATATCTTCTTCTTCTGTGATTTGGGGTAAAATTCCACAGTGCCTTTAGCTGCTTTCTGCTGGTAGGAATTTTCCTTCAGATCTCATTTTCAATGTAGGTTACTTATATGATGTAAAAATATTCTTAATGCATGAACCAATTTGCCTAAAATCTTCTCTAATTATTTTCTCCTATATTATACTTGCTGAGTGGGATGAAATAGATAACTAAAAATAAGCATATTTATGACAATATTTTATTGACTTAGTTAAATATATGTAAAAAGCTCACATGTATTAAGTCCTTAAAATTCACCAGAAACTGTTGTGAACAACTTGTACATATTAACTTTTATAAGTGTTAACTTCCTCTGAGCTAGCAATTGTCGCCTCCATGCAAAGATGAGGAAAAGAAGTCACATATTGTACAAGGTCACATAGCTAGTAAGAATTGGATCTGAGATCTATAGTTTTAATTGCAGACCTGATGGTCTTATGGTCTATTATGCTTTAATATATCCAGGTTTGTTAAACTATTATTACCTGAATAATTAAATATCTAGAAATGTTAGCACAACTAAATACATGATTCTGAGAAACAAATGTTCCAATGTTCAGGACACTATTAAGTAGCCAAAATAAAAACAATATAATTATCTGGTTTCTTATATACACATATTTATTAAATAATGACATTTTAAAAATAATGACATTTAAAATAATTGTGCTTTATAGTCATTAAAAAACTTGTCTTTCAATGCCTCGGCATTGCAAGCACAGAACCAATAATGTGCTTTATTTATTTTGACCTTATGATAAATGTTCCCTTGTGAACAATTGAAATGGATATGGAATTTTAAACTGATTATGCTTGCACATTGTGGGTTAAGTCAACATCAGTGAAGAAACTGGGTTTCTTAAAATACAGCTACATTTAAAATGTTGGGGAGAAAAGAAAACGGAGTCATTTGATTTTGGGTTGTGTCTAGTGCCCTGCCAGAGTACAAATCCCGTTAATATTTTTATTCAGTCATACATGTATGCAGTCATTCCAAAAACCTATGTTTTTGAGCCTATGAAACACAATAAGAACAACAACAAAATCATTAATTCTATGTCAAAGAAGAGGAATAGGAAGATGTGAGGGGTGGCGGGGGGGCAATCACACTGCTCCAACCTCAGAGTTTTCAGAATCCAGAGAACTCAATCTTAGCCTGTGTTTATGCTGCTTGCATACATTCAGTTTGAAAGAAAAATCACGGAGATTTTAGGTACTAGATCAGAAGTCAGCAAGCTATAGTCCAAATGCCCAATGGGACCTTCTGCCTGTTTTTGTTTGTTTTGCATGCTGAGCTGAGAGTCTTTTAAACCCCCAATATTGAAAAAAAACAAAAGTATCCTATTGTGTGACACATGACAATTATGGGAAATCAAAATTTAGTGGCTGTATATAAGATTTTTTATTTCTTTTTAAACACTAGGCACACTCATTCCTTTATGTATTTTTTACGGCTGTTTTTGCACTACAAGGACAGATTTCTGATGTTATGAAAGATGGTATGAATTGCAAAGCCTAAAATATTTGCTATCTTTACAGAAGGTTTGTTGCCCTTCACATATACTATCCATATAGGAAATGTTTACCGAGAAATTATCTTGCTGTGTGAATGGAGCTACTCATATTGAAATAATCTTTTTCTGAATAACTCAGTTAACTCATTAGAAATTCAGATGCTGCCCATATAAATTTTTTTAACCTATTTTTATTTTTTTAAAGATTTTAATTATTTGAGAGAGAGAACATGAGTGGGGGAAGGGGCAGAGGGAGAGGGAAAAGCAAACTCCCCGCTGAGCAAGGAGCCTGATGTGGGGCTCAATCCCAAGACCCAGGGATGGTTATCTGAGCCGAAGGTAGACGCTTAACCAACTGAGCCCCCCAGGTGCCCCCGGATGCTGTCCATCATAAACAGTGATGGTGACCGATTAATATAATATTTATATAAGTACAAATGTGTTTATGTTGTCAAATATATAGTATTTTGTAGCATATATGCAATATTACACTATGTAATCATGGCGTTAGTTTAAAAAAATCTAAAATGTAATTCCTATCTACAAATACCTGAACATTTAAATAGAAAGAAATAATTTGGGGCGCCTGGGTGGCTCAGTCATTGAGCATCTCTCTTCGGCTCAGGTCATGATATGGAGTCCCAGGATCAAGTCCCGCATCTGGCTCCCTGCTCAGTGGGAAGCCTGCTTCTCCCTCTCCCACTCCCCCTGCTTGTGTTCCCTCTCTCGCTATCTCTGTCAAATGAGTAAATAAAATCTTTAAAAAAAAATAAATTGCATAAAAAGTAGAAAGAACTAATTTATTATTTATTTGTCAAATCTTGAGCTATGTCTTTGGATGTAGTTTTTTTACAAAAATCTCTAATGTTAGGATACATTAAAGTTGGGAATAAGGCTCATCCTGGGGGATTTAACTATACCTCACATTCCCCAAGAGCAGTTTTCCACCCTGATTATATTTTGGGACTCTCTTGGCTTGTTTTCTTAGAGGAGTTTAATTTTCTTGCAGCTCACAATATTAAAAAATAAATTCATACTGATGACCTAGATTTTAAAAAAAGAGAACAAATCAATGGTTATCCCAGGTAAACTGTTCTACCATATAAATGAGAACTCTGAATTCTATACTATTGGAACAAAACTCTCCCTCCAGACTTAATCTTCCATCAGAAAATTTTCTGGACTATATGAAAACTTCACCAGGTCTAAAGTTAAGAAAGAATAGTATATTCGCTTCATATATTATTTGTGAATAAACTTTTTCATTGACTTTTGTTGTCTGATGCAATTTGACTAGGAATAGTAATAATAAATTATCTATTCAATTGTTAAAGAGTTCTAGGGTAGCCCTAATCATCATCTTTCACTATATTTTTATTCCTTTTTTTCTGTAAGGTTTTCTTTTATTTAAAAGATCATTCACAAAATACTATAACCATAGATTAAAAAATATGGAATGCTTCACGAATTTGTGCGTCATCCTTGTGCAGGGGCCATGCTGATCTTCTCTGTATCGTTCCAACTGCTGCTAAAGTGAGTACTACATTTTTACTTGTAGTGACTTCATTTATACCCACAGTTTATCTTTATCATTTATATATACCTTAGCTATCCAAAATCTACTTTGGCAGCTCCAAACTCCCTCTTAAGCACCAAACCTGTTTCTTCCAGGGTCCACTGAATATGTCTCTGCATGTTTCATGAACCACTTAATCTTATAATATTCAAATCTGACTCCAGCTAGCTTTCCTTTTCTTCTCCAAATTTACCTCATGTTGAGTATCCTTAATTTCAGTGAATGGTATCAGTGCCCTCTCACTTTTCTGAAGCCAAAATTATCAGCATCACTCTAGACATTTTCCTTACACTTATTCCTTATTGCCATGCCTTCCCTCTCCTCATGCACTGAAACAACTGGAGGTTACTATTTACCAATTTTAGCTCCTAAGTGTCTCCTACTCTAAGAACTAAGTATCTAAGTACTCTCTCCTCTCCATTTCTATAGTCACAGCCTCAGTTTGATTTATCATCCCTTATGCTCATGTTTGTATTAGTCTCTTTACTAGATTCCTTGCCTAAATTCATTCCCAAACTATCCATCTTCCATAATGCTTACAGAAATGACTTAACAAGTCTGCTTTAGTTTTTAACAAGTTTGCTTTAAATAATTCAATACACATTGCTCAAATTAAGTCCAAATATTGTATTATGGCATAAGAAACTCTGAATCTTCATCCTATCTCCTCTAAAATGCATGTCTTTTTACTTAATTGTATCCTATAATTCAATCTTGCTGAACTAGGGTCAATTCCCAGCACATGTTAGCCTTCTCCTTGTACTTCTGGGCCTTTTGATAAAATGCTCTATCTGGTTTGTTCTCTCAACTTTCTACCTGACTAATTCCTGTTGGATCTTTAAAACACAGCTTAATTATAACATCATCTTAAAAGTTTTTCTAGTGTTGTCAGTGAAAATGGCAGAGTAAAGAAATCCAAAAGTTCACCCTTCCATAAAGGCAATGGAATCTTATAAAAACTGTCAGAATCAACCTTTTTGGAATTCTGGAAACAGACCAAAAGCTTGCAACAATGAGGGCAAGATTTAAGAAAAGTACATCTGAATCTTGGTAAGAACAGAGAGCTTTGTGTTGTTTTAACTTACACTGTTCTTTTTTGGGGGGGCAGAAGGAGAGGGAGAGAGAACCCCAACCAGGTTCCATGCCCAGTGTGAGCCTGATGCAGGGCTTGATCTCACAACCCTGAGATCATGACCTGGGCTGAAATCAAGATTCAGGTACTTAACCAACTGAGCCACCCAGGCACCCCAAACTTATGCTGTTCTCATTTCACATTTCCTAGTTAATCCACAACCCTTGTACAGGTACCAGTACCAGAGGGAACAGAAAAGACCACATTCACAAAGAATTGTGGCTATTTGTTTTGACTTGTCTAATGGCTCTCTGGAATATCAGCTGAGGGGTTTGCCTTTATCTTGCCTAACTTGGAACTGTGGCAGCTTTTGAGGGCATTTGTCAAAAACATTTATAGGGAGATGTATTAGCTTTCTGAAACAATGGATAACACTTGGAGAAAACCACTTACTAATGAAAAAGCTTGGGAGAGAAGACTAGGAATGAGATGCTCTGGGGAAACATATGTTTATTGTTTGGTTTTTTAAAGATTTGTTTATTTTAGAAAGCGAGAGAGAGAGTGAGTGCACAAGTGGGGGGAGGTGCAGGGGGAGAGAGAGAGAGAAAGAGAAGCAGACTCCCTGCTGAACATGGAGCCCAATATGGGGCCTGACCCAGGGCTTGATCTTAGGACCTGAGATCATGACCCGAACTGAAATCAGGTCGGTCAGTTAATCGACTGAGCCACCCAGGTGCCCCAGGAAACATGTTTTTAAAAGCTCCAATATATTCATGGAATCTAAAAAATCATGTGAATTCCCAGAGCAAGGAACATGCTCAAGAAAGAATTAAGAAGGCCCTAAGCTCTCATTCTGACTGACCTTCAGGATCTACACAGGGAGGAAGTTAAGTCTAAGGCAGAGTTGTAAACTGCTTAACTAAGTGTTGAAGGTATGCCCAACTACACACAGGCCACCGGCAAAGACTGGGAATTTATTGTTTACAGGTGTTTAAGCAAATCTTAGTCCAGCCTCTAGCTCACCACTAAACTAACAAACATTAGGGGCCACACATGACAGAGAACAGATAACTTACAAATTAATTCAGAAAAGTCACCAGATATCCAAACAATAGCAACAAGGAACAACAGCAAACCCTAGGGGTAGGGGTTTCAAGATATCCTGATTTCCAGTGTTGCTACATTATCATATTAAAAATATTCAGTTTTCAACAAAGAATGTGATGCATACAAATGAACAAGAAATTATGGTCCATAAACAGGAGGGGGGGAAGCAATAAATAGAAACTGTCCCTAAGGAAGGCCAAACATTAAATTTACTAGAAAAAGACTAATATACTTGTATGTTTCTATTTATAGGAAATGTCCAGAATAGGCAAATCCATTGAGACAGAAAATAGATTAGTGGTTTCCAGGGGAAAGGGGCAGGGGAAAATGAGAAATTACTTTTTAAAATGGCTATGGGGTTTCTTTTTGGGGTGATTAAAACTTTCTGGAATTAGGTAGTGGTGATGGTTGCACAACATTGTGAGTATGCTACATAGCACTGAATTATACAACTTAAAATGGTTAAGGTGGTGAATTTTATGTTATGTGAAGGTATCTCAATGAAAATATGAGTCCCCTTCCTCCCCAAAAAAGCTTTCAAGACTTCTCTATGTTAGCTTTGGTACTCCTTGTAGGTATCATAGGTTCCCATTACATATCTCTGCCAGATTCTTCTGAAATTGCTGTTTTTTTTGCATGTCTTTTCACCTTGACTGTGGATTCATGGGGATTAGTGATTATGCTCCTTAGCCTTATAGCTAGAACTATGCTTGAGGTACAAATCCACCACACTGGAAAAATGTGTAATAGAACCTTGTAGATGCTTGCTTGGGATTTATCTGTGATCATGAGGCAGATTCAAAATGAGAATAGTAATTGCCCTGAAAGGAACTGTCCAGAAGGAATACAGTAAATAGGATATGCTATAGCTATTCACCTTTCAGAGGTAGTTAAAAAGAGCCACCTTATGGGGTGGCCACAGAGAGCCTTAGTCTGAGACATCAAAGGGCTTACTATAGCTCAAAACATGTTAAGTACAAGTGAAACAATTAAACTACAACACAAGATCCAGAAAATTAAAATATAGGATATTATATGCATTGTTTATGTTAGGAAAAAAAGTAAAATAGGAGAGTAAATGCTATAGAGAGAGCTAATGGGGAAATTGTGAAAGGATCTGGCCCTGAATAATGGTTATTTAAACCTTCTTGGGAGTGACTCACCATCTCCCCATCTGTATATGGAGTTCTGCCACATCCAATTGGGTTGTTATCAAAATAAATGTGGTTAACAGATGTCTTCAAAGTCTAAGACAATTAATTGGATATGATGAAACAAGAAGACATTTGAAAATTATCATAAGTTTCCAGGATTTGATGGCTAGAAAAACAGTAGTGCCTGTAATAAAATGAGGAAGACAAGAAGGTCAATCCATTTTGAGTGAAAGATGGTAACAAAGAGGACTGGACATGTTATGTTGAAGATTAAGTGGAACATAGATATAAAAATGCCAGAACTCAGGGTAAGGACTGAACCTTTCTTAATAGTAACCAAGAGTTTTTGTAAATAAAAGTAGATGCTCTTCAAATTCACTGGGTTTTCTTGTTGTAATGACAGCCAGAAATTCATGGAACAAATAAATAACACATTTTTAGCAAATTATCTTCTTTTAGTTGTTGTTGTTTAGTTTTTATTTCATCATCATAAACTTAACTCTCCAATCCAGCTAGACTTGAAGGGGAGTAAGGAAAACATGGAACCCACAGAACTGCAGCTAGAGCACAAAGATTATAGGATATTTCCAGCAGATGGGGATGAAGGGGTGCTCTCCTGAGCTACAGAAGGAATGGTCTGGTAGTTAAGATAAAATGTAAGTCAAATTTGTAAGATTTGTCCACAGTCAGCAACTGTGATCTTCTTGCTGGTCTTTCCATTCTTGGACTCAAAGCCTTCCAGCTTCCACAATATTTATACCCCCTTTCACCTTGCCAAAGACCACATGTTTTGGCAGTGCAACCACTCAGTCTTGGCAGTGCAGATGTAAAACTGGGAAGCGTGTTGGGTCCAGCATTTGCCATGGACAAGATGCCAGGACTGGTGTGCTTCAGGATGAAATTCTCATCCTCAAATTTCTCCCCATAGATGGGTTTGTTGCCACCTCCCTGGCACATAAATCCTGGAATAATCCTGTGAAAGCAGGAAACTTTATAACCAAATCCTTTCTCCCCAGTGCTCAGACACCAAAGTTTCTCTTGTATTTGGAAGTTTGTCTGGAAACAGTTCAAAGGAGACACAGCCCAAGGACTGCTGTTCACGGTGATGTTGAAGAATATGGTGGTGCTGACCACGGCTGGGCGGCTCAGATGGCTCCAGGGCACTGGTGTCTGCCAGGCCAGCAAACTATCTTCTAATTCATATTTCTAATAATTGTAATTATCAATCCACTAAGCCACATAATCAATATTTATCAAGGGCCAAATATATGCTAAGAATAGATGCTGAAGATAGACAAACTATTCACAAAGTCCCCCCCCCCTTACAGAGCATACATTGTGATAAAGTTAAATATGTCAATCAAGGAAGATCCTGAAGTTTGATTAAAAAATCAGTAAGTATGTACACTGCAAAGTTATCATCACATAACTTGCTTTCCCTCCTGTTCATCAGCAGATTAATTCACTGTTATTATTAAATTCATGGCAAGTCCCATATGTTGCCACTAAGTAGAAGCATTTTCACTAGACTACTCAGTTCTGAGCTGTTAATACTGCTTCCTTTGTTATTATTTTATGTACCAATAATGTGCTGAGTAAAAACTAAGTGCCTATTGCTGGGACATGGCTGAGAATATATATAA